AGTGGTATGACTGGGTCGTAAGGGAGGTCAATCTTTAGCTTTCTAAGGACCCTCCAGACTGCTTTCCAAAGTGGTTGTATAAGTAAACACACCACTTTTATGTCCCCACATATTGAAAACTTCTAGGGTCAGGGGATAGGAAAAGATGTATAGCTTACAATTCTTTCCTTTTGTTGGTTAGACATTTTAAAAAATACAATTTCATTGTTGTTACTAAGGTGTTGTATAGCAGGGCTACCATTTCCTAAGATAATGAGTACATTTCTGTTGTTGATGGTGGTGTTAGTGGTATTTGTTTTTGCCTGTGGTTTAATAAGTTTTTTTAGAGTCAGTGCAGAAAGGGAGGGAGGAAAGATGAACTAATACAATCATGCTCTTCAGTATACATTATAACTTGGGGTTCTTACAGCAAAACCACAGTAGGAGCCTGGTGCTGGTGTCTCACACTTACAATCCTAGCTACTCAGGAGGCTGATATCTGCAGATCATGGTTCAAAGCCAGCCTTGGCAGGAAAGTCCCCATGATAGTCTTATCTTCAATGAACCATCAGAAAAGCAGAAGTGGCACTGTGGCTGAAAGTGGTAGAACACTAGCTTTGAGCTGAAGATTTCTGGGACAATGCCAAGGTCCTGAGTTCAAGCTCCACAATTGACAAAAAATAAAACTAAACCATAGCAGGATTTCATTGGCCAAAACTATCTAGTACTGTTTAGGGATATCCAAAGTTCAGCCACAAATAGCTGGGTTCTTGAGATGTTCATGTTTTCCCCACTTTTGTTGCTTCAGGTTCAGCAAGAAGAACAAGGAAAGCATCAATCCTTACATCTACATGCCCTTTGGAGCTGGGCCCAGAAACTGCATCGGCATGAGGTTCGCTCTCATGAACATCAAACTTGCTCTTGTCAGACTCATGCAGAATTTCTCCTTCCAACCTTGTAAGGAGACCCAGGTCAGTATACTTCCTAGGTAAATAATACTTCATGACATTTGTTCGGGACTGAATACTGGGGCTTGAACTCAGGGCCTCACAGTCTTCAGTGTGTTGTTTGCTAAAGGCTGGTGCTGTACCACTTGAGCTACACCTCCACTTTCCAATTTTTTTTTTGTCGATCATGGGGCCTGAACTTTGGGCCTGGGTACTGCCCCTCAGCTCTTCAGCTCAAGGCTAGGGCTCTACCACTTGAGCCATAGCTCCACTTCCAGCTTTTTCTGCTTATGTGGTGCTGAGGAATTGAACCCAGGGTCTCATGCATGCAAGACAAGCACTCTACCAATGAGCCACCTTCCCAGACCCCAACTTCCAGCTTTTTGCTGTTTAATTGGAGAAGAGTCTTAGGGACTTTTTCTATCCTGGACTGACTTTAAAGTGTCATCTCAACTTCCCGGGTAGCTAGGATTATAGGCATGAGCTAAGGGTGCCTGGCTTTATGGGAGATTTTTTTTGCTTATTTTTTTTAAAAATTGAGAGGCCTATTGTCATCTTTTAATATTGGATTAACCAAAAAATCTTTGTTGTTATTGCTGTTCCATTTCTTAGATTTCCCAATTTGGGAACCAGATCATTTATTTGATAAAATCAGAGTAGGAAAGTGATGTCCACTCCGTGTGGATTAGCATGATGTGGCTCTGCTGAGGATTTTGGACCTGAGTGCATTTGAACTTCCTGTCAGCTGGAGTTAGGATGCATGGCATTTGATCATGACATAGAATGATCTCGTGATCATGATATTTGAGGAGGTTCTCCTTTGCCAAAGCTTACAGCTGTTTCTTGAAGGATAGACTTATTTCCAAAGCTCATGTATTTAAAATTTTGGTCTTGCTTTTAGTGGGATTGCTGCTGGGAGAGGGGATGTAGATAGCTGATAGATAGATAGATAGATAGATAGATAGATAGATAGATAGATAGATAGATAGATAGATAGATAGATAGACAGATAGATAGACAGATAGGTATATAGATAGTTTCTGCTTCATATATGGCTTTGGGAGTGCTGTGTCACTTTCCTCTTAAATGTGCAACCAAGCAACTTAACCTTAAGAAAAAGCATACTTGAGATGGAACAAATGCTCAGCAGGTCCCCAGAGCATCTTTTTTCCAGATAGGAGTGTGTTCACTTTCATAACAACGTGCTTGTCTTACCTATTCTGGGATGGGCAGGCCACCCCTCCACTACTGAAAGACCAACTCACAGTATGGAGTACTTAGTACAGTACCCAGAAATTCCCTATTTCCCACTATGCTGGGAAGCCAAAAGAATATGATAGGAAAATCAAAAGAAAGGGAAGGAGGGAAGAAAGAAGGAAGGAAGCCAGGTACCAGCTGCTCATGCCTGTAATCCCAAGCCATTGAGGATTCTGAGATCTGAGGAACATGGTTAAAAGCCAGCAAAGTTAGGAAAGTCCATGAGACCCATATCCCATGGACTTAACTACTGAAAAGCTTGAAGTATAGTTGTGGCACAAGTGGTAGAGTGCTTGTCTTGGTCAAAAAGCTCAGTGACAGTGCTGAAGCCTTCAGTTCAAACCCCAGGACACCCCCACTTCCCCACACACAATTGGAAGGAAAGAAGAAGGAAAAGGAAAAGAAGGAAGAGAGAAAACAAGCAAGCAATCAAGTCCTTCTAGAAGTCTCTCTTGTCATTAAACTGCATTGGCTCAAATTGAAGAACTGATTGGGCTATTTAGAATTTGAAGACTGTTTCTGTAATTGAAATGTATAATACTTTTTGAGGGTTATCCTTGACAGATCCAACAAATCCAAAATGAACTTTTTATGAGTTTTCAAAAATATCTTGCCTTAGTGGCTAAGAAACTGATTTAAATTTTGTGTGTTTTTTGTGCCAGTCTTGGGACTTGAACTCAGGGCCTGGGTGCTATCCTTGAGCTTTTCCCCTCAAGGGTAGTGCTCTACCACTTCAGCCACAGATCCACACCCACCTTTAGGATTATTAACTGGAGATAAGAGTCTCAGGAACTTTGCTGTCTGGACTGGCTTTGAGCTGTGATCCTCAGATCTCAGCCTCTTGAGTAACTAGGATTTCAGGCATGAGTCACTGGTACCTGGATAGGTAAATTTTTTAAACTCATTCCTTTATCTTAAAATTATATCAGTAGATGGGCTGGGAAGGTGGCTCAGTTGTAGAGCTCTTGGTTTGCATGCTCAAGGTCCTGGGTTCGATTTCTCAGCACCACATAAGCAAAAAGAAAAAAGCCGGAAGTGGCACTGTGGCTCAAGTGGTAGAGCGCTAGCCTTGAGCTGAAGAGCTG